ACCAAACATCTTATAGTGGGTATAATATGGGGATTTGTGTTCCATGACGATTTGTTGCCAATAACCATTATGAGTTGTGCCCAACTAGACTTCAGTAACATCAGGTAAATTAATATCCATTTCCATAAGTATTCTGGCCACCGAGGGTCTGGTTAGGTTGAAAGTAGGTAGATCTAGTTTCAAAGGATCCCCAATGATGACCCCAAAAGAGTAGAAAACCTGATGGTGAAAAAAATGCAGCTTGAGACTAGGTAAATTAAACCATACAGGTATAGTGAGAGTTTCATGCTTTGGGTCCAAGTTAGGAGACCGTTTGAGTAACTTCATTGATTTGTCTTTGATATTAAGATATTTCTTGGAGAAAATTATGGTGTAGTCTTCAGCCACTATTAGTTGGATCAACACATATCTTCCATCCATGGGTCTCACTTTCCACTTGCCTACTAGCTTAAGATCATCAACACTCTTTTTGATAACATTCATAGGAGGGTGTCCCCATTGAAATTTGTCAATAAGAGCAAACTTGAATTTTTCTGTTATGGTAGAAATTCTAATTCAGAGAAAAAGATTACTTCGTTTCCCTCTTTTCTACTTCCCTTCTTAATAAAAGGACAATCATCTGTACCCTCACGACATTCCTTATAACTTAAGGGAAATACTACTGCGAACTCCTGAAGGTTACCCACCACGCAGACAAAGGAGACTTTGTTCGGCTCAACCAAAGAAGAAGGAAACGCCATCAGAGGCTGGCGGCGGTAAAACTCCTGCGAACTGCTGCGAGGTTGCTGAAAGGCAAAGGAGCTGTCGGGCGCAGAAGCAGGAGCAGCGCCGAAACAGAAGAATCGGGCGCAGACGACAGCTGCAAGCGATAGAGGTGTGGAAAACGACGACGTCGAACGTCGAGTAGAGCAGGTGCGGTTATCGACGTCGAGTAGAGCAGGTGCGGATATCGACGTCGAGTAGAGGAACGATAGCGACAGAGGAAGACGACGACATGAGCAGTGGAGATATCGCGACGCGAGCCACGACAGGGAGTGTGAACAACAACGTCGACGTAGATGCAGACGCAGGAGCGAGGGTCAACGATGCGAGATCTTCTCCTTCCAGGTAGAATCAATTGCGACCGAAATCACCATTGGAATCCCTATAGATATATATATATATATACATATATGTCTGTATGTATATATGTATATATATGTATATATATATATACATATACATATATA